ACAAAGTGCAACAAATGATTTTGAAAAAGCAGTTTATCCATTAGTATGGCATCACTATCAACCAACGAACGTTCCACATCAGAAAGAACATCATAAATAATCGAAATATTTATAAGGCAAAATCGTATAAAATGTTGTATTACACTCGCAGGATAAAGTGTCCATTTAATTGGCTGTTATTAATGCGTGCGCTACTGCGCAGCTTGCGCGGTTAAACAAACAGCTCATTAAACGGCCACTTTATCCGCTTGTATAATAAATAACTATAACTTTATCGGTGGTCAAAAGTCAGGATTTGAATTTTTGGCGGCAGTTATCAGCGCCGCTTGCGATTGCGGTCGAACTAATTGTAAGTTTGACGCAAACCAATAGAGTTTCTCATCTATATCCCTACTTATAATATCTCATCTATGGTCCTACATTTTACTCACGTGACCTAAGTTTTACGTTTGACCGCCAGAGGACGTATCGCTTAGCGAAAATTCTCAATAGCATGTAACACGGGTATAAACTTCTCTAGACATTCGTTTTATTAAACACTCGTTCCGCTGCGCTTCGCTCGTGCCTAATAAAACTCATGTCTAAAGTAGCATTTACCGCACTAGTTACATAAGATACTATTACCATCCGAGAGTCTTCATGTTAAACCCCGATACCACATTAGCGATTCGATTTTAGAAATTATGGAAAAAAAACAACTTATCACGCACATTCGTCGCTTATTGTCCTGATAATGCGAATACAAATTTCGGAGGATTTCTTAGAAAAGGTGAAAATAATATTTTCAACAAAATTAAACAACAAATTTCCACAAACAATAATAGGAGGAGAATCGAAAAATTAAAAGAATTCTGCGAAGAGGCAGAAGTGGAATTTCACAAACTTCTGGGATATGGAAAAAAACTAGATAGCTGTCTTTGATGCCGGCTGTGGACGAAATCTTAAAATTGTTGAAATCATATTTTTTGTCTCTGGAAAAATGTCCAAAGATTCTTTGGGTATGGTTGTTCATTGTCAATCGGTCTTATTTTACGAATCTGTGAAAAGTATTGAAGGAAATAATGGATGTTGCTGAACAACTAAACATTCTAAAAGACAAAATTAGACGTCAAGTAGAAGAAGAATATCTTCCTTTAATACTTAGAAACGATCTCACACATTTAGAAGAACACGGATTAATAAATAGAGTATGGTTTCTTAATCACGTTAAAATATTTTATTCAAACTGCTTGAGTTACTTGGAGTTGTGGACTGCGCAATTTACCGACGTTGTGCATTTTAAATGGACAAGACTTCAAGAAGCTGTACTTTGGGCAGTAGTGCAATTTAGTTTCGCTTTTTTGTCAAAACATCTTTCGTGGGAGAATAATCTAAATGACGAAAATCCTTTATTCGACGAAATTTCTTACTTACAAGCGTATGTAACTGAGGAAAAATTGAAATCATGGAATGACCAAAAGCTATCCACAGATTTTAGATGGGTTGAAGTTTTTGATCATTTTAGAAAAGATCATGTTCCCCATGTAATGGTATTGCAAATTTCACAATAAGCTCTGTGCTTGCCTGGTACTAATGCCGCAACAGAACGTATTTTTTCTGTGATTAATAATATATGGAGTTCAGAAAAAACTCAATTAACAGTGGAAACATTGAAATCCACTATTACCGTGAGATGCAATTTGGCGGAATCTTGTAAGGAATTTTACAAGAAAATTCAGCAAAATATTGAACTCCTCAAAAAAATTCATTCCGCAGAAAAATGTGTGAATATACCCGGTGTCCCAGGCAGGTTTGGATATAGGAGATTAACATGGGAAATTAGTTGTTATTTTTTTCCGACTGCAGGAGTAACAAAAATTAAAATCTGTTTAATGGAACTTGTAGAGCTCGAAAAGGACAATCTTATCGACATTTTGGTCGATTCTCCAATTAACTCCATTTCGGTGAAAACGCTTCTTGAAAAATTGAAATTTGAATTTGCCGGGTTAGCGTTACTAAAAAACGAACTATCAAGTCAAATTGTGACAAATTCTCATTTGGCAACAATGACTTGATAGTTCGTTTCTTAGTAACGCTAACCCGGCAAATTCAAATTTCGATTGTTCGACGGTCGTTTTCGCCCATATGGAGTTAATTGGAGAATCGATAAGATAGCCCTCTTCAAGCACTACAAACTCCATCAGTCAGACTTTGATTTCTGTTACTCCTGCACCCGGAAAAAAATAAAAACTAATTTTCCGTGTTAATTTCCTATATCCAAGCCTGTCTGGGACACCCGGTATATTTTTTTAAATTATAATAAGACATTGCCATGATGTCAACTAAAATGCAATCATGTTTTCATTCAAAGCCCTTTTTAGCATCAATCATTATCATAATTAATGTTAATGTTATTCCGTCCCGCATTTTGCTTTCCGAGATCTGGTCACCTTAGTATTCCGTCAATTCAAAGACGTTTACGTAAACGTGTTATTTTTTGATTTCTTAGCAACGGCTATTTGTCGTAGTCGTAATACGTTAAACTTTTTTTTGGCCTCCTGACATGTAAATGTCAAATTAACGTACAATTGACACCTATTGAAAGACTGTATTTACAGTCGCCTGAGCATTTTACGCACAGACGAGTGTAAAGTGACAGTTTTACCGCACTGCCAAAATTATCTTCATAGACTTTTATAAAAAAAAACTGTTTGTAAGATGATAACATTTTTAATAAAACGCTCTACACACAACCTTTCAATCTTAGAACTCTTTTTTCTTCACACCACTTTATAATTATAAAC